ACTTCTTTCAGCCTAATTCAGCCAAAATGTGCTCTCTCCACTTCTTTCTGGTAGTTTAAACTTATATCTGCATTTTCAGCTACTTTTCAGATTTTTTATGCTAATTTCTGCCGGTTTTTAAGATAATTTACTTTTTTTGCGCTAATTTCTACTTATTTAAACTTTATTAAGCAAATATGTGTCCTTTCTGCTTTCTACTGCTAACTTAGGTATGTTCTTCCATTTCAGCTAGATTTCAGCATGTTTGTAGCTAATTTCAGCTGTTTTTCAGCAATAAGCATTCACACTGCATTTTCACAGGAAATGCAATTTCTCTAGTTAATGATTTTTTTTCTGCTGCTTCATTTTGACTTGAAATTGTGAGACAGATCTGAGTTTTTCCCTCTTCTGTTCACTGATGATTCAGATGTTCAAGGTTAAAAAAAACTATATTAGAATCATATTGTGAGGTATATTTAAAATCATATCAATGGCAAAGCAGAGAAAATGAACTTATGTTTCAATAATAGAATTATTGCCTGATTGAAGTAAAAATGTATTTATAGACCAGAAGGCACTTTTGTATATTTTTGAAGTCAAATGTTAGTTGACTGTTAATTGTATTGGAACTGTACAACAAAGCAACAGCACATGCTGTAGAGCAGACATGGCAACTTAAGGCCTGAGGGCCAAAAGTGGCCCTTGGACAATCTCCATCAGGCCCCCAATATCCTTAGTTTAAAATAAATAAAAAAAACAGCCAACTTTTTAAATAAAGCTTGATAAATTACCAGCAATTTATCAACAAGAATTAAGGAAATTTAAATTAAACGCATTATGCAAAACTGTTTTTAAAACATTTTTAAGTCATTGTGTTTCCAGAACTACACTGAACTTTAGACTTAGAAACACAAATGTATATGTTTGTTTTGCATATTTTTGCTAACATGTATAGCATGTTAAGCTAATGTGTATATATTGTCACAAGAGCCATTTTACAGAACATGTCTTATATTCCTAAAGGATACTGGAAATGCATGATTATAAATCGTGTGAACTATGCGGCAATATGACAAATCGTGAAAAAGGTCTTTTAGATTATCTGTCATAAAGAAAATTTATTTTCCAATTCTCTATGCTGCCCTTTGATTGCTTTAAACGTCTTGATGTGGCCTTTTGGATTAAAATGTTGCCCACCTCTGCTGTAGAGGGTTGATTCTAAAAGTAACAATGAACATATAATCTTATTTAAAGAATTCTTTGTTTCTCCCTGTGTGATTGGCCATTTAAAACCTGAAAACATTACATTTATCCATCTTTTCTCTGTTCAGCTAAATTATCTCCAAGCTCTAAACTCCCTTTACGGAAAAGAGACAAGATGAGGTTTAGAGAAGCAGCTGCAGCTATAAATGTGTTGATGTACTGAATAAACGGGCTAAACTTACATTTCAAGACAAAATAATGGTTTTGTCAAGTACAAACAAAAGTATAAGTTAAAGAATATTATGTATTAATGTCACGAGAACCAGTCAAAAACAATTTAAAAAAAAGTTTTCTCAAATCAAACTTGAATGCGTTCGTAAATGTAAAAGTTGGAAGTAAAGTTTGTAGACAACTACCACGTGTGTTTATTTACAGAAGCAGTCGACGCGACTGAAAACGTGCGGACTGTTGGGAAGTCCAACAATTTCGATGCGTTGGTTCGTGTTTGCGCTCAGATTTAAAGATTAACGTACGAAGAAAAGCCTCGTGGGGTTTGGTAGATTCAGCTGCTGTGCTTTGTTTACACTGAGCGCGTACCTGCATTTCATAATTACATATCAATGTCTGGTAAACTACCGGAGTGAGCTCTTTCAAACCGCACCATTTGATATCGTTTAGAACCAGTTTCATGGCTTTTAATGAGTATATTTTAAATAGTTTTAGCTGAAGACCATCTTTCACTGTTCCGAGACTATAACTGGGCATAAAGCTCAAATTAAACCATCTACTAAGACTCAAGTTGGCGTTGGCTGACACTTTATTTGTGCTAATTTAAAGTCAGAGATGGTAACGAGCCTGAAGCGTCTGTTGTACTCATTAGGTCTGATGGGTAAAGAAGCTGGAGGTAGCAGGGTTTAAAAAAGCTAAAAGCAGGTTATGTGATGCCGCTTTATTCTTTTAAATCGTTTTCTTGATGCGAGGTCTTTGCAGAAAACCTGCTTGACAAATCTGAAAAAAAAATCCTTTTGGACTACAATGATTATAGCCATTTAAATTATTCCGAGTTATTATGAGTGAAAGCTGCACTGTTCGTCTGCCAGACTTGGTGGTTGGGCGAAAACCGATCCAAACCTTTTAATACGACAAGTTGAGCTAATATTTTAAGGCTTGGATTGCAAAACCAGGAAATACCTGAGAAAGGTACACCTTTAAGGAATAAAACCTTGGCTGCCCGCAGGAATGGTTGGAAAACTCCAACTAGAGAACTCGGGCTGCGTCCTGGACCTGCAGGTTCAGGTGCAGCGACAGCCTGTCTGTCTGACCCGTCTGTCTGTTTTACAGACAGACACATGCATTTACGAAACAATGAAGATGAGGTTCATGAGCACAAGCAATGAAGGTTCTGCAAGCTTTTCTCAGATTCGGCAACGAAAGTGGGAAGAACTACATTAATTTATTGTTACCAGTAAAATTTCTAGTAAAAAATAATTAAACGGTCCAAACGGCGAGGCTATAAAGATTTAAGACAAAATATATTTTCACCGTATGTGCACAGATTATTGCGTGAACGTTTATGAAGCATTCGCACCACTGTGATCCATTTTTCTTCCGTATGTTTTTCGACACGGTTCTCGTCCCGCAGTTTTCAAGTTATTTCAATAAATCATATTTTAAAACGTTCAGCTCTTTCAGGACAATCTGCTATGACTTCTGACATTGGTGCAACTTTAGCTTTTTGAAATATTTAGCCCTTCTGCCCTTTTTGTCTCACAGAAAATGAATTGAGCTCATTTTACATCCTTCAGATCTTTAGATCTGTTTACAACCTTTTACTGCTTCGGTCACATTTCGTTCTGCTTCAGCTTCTTTCTGCTATTTTTTTTTCAGCCGTTTTGTGTTGTGTTCAGCTGTTCAGATTCTTTCTGCTAATTTCAGCTTTTTGCGCTCCTTTCAGCTTATTTCTGCTAGTTTCAGTTTTTTCTGCCGTTTCAGCTATTTAGCTGTTTTTATACTAATTTTAACATTTGTAGCCCACATTTTTTTTGCACCCATTTAAACTTTTTTCAGCCTAATTCAGCAAAAATGTGCTCTCTCCACTTCCTTCTTGCATTTTCAGCTTATTTCTTTTCTTTTTTTTTTTGCTACTTTTCAGCTGTTTTTGCTCATTTCTATATTTTCAGATAATTTCAATTTTTTTGTGCTCATTTCCACTTTTTTCAGCCTAATTGGGCAAGCGTGTTCTTTCTGCTTGCTCCGACTTCATACATCTACTGTGTACATTCACTTCATACGCTGCTTTGCCTCTTTACTACAAATGTCAATGTCAGGACCTTCACTTCATTTCATTTTATAGACATTTTATTTTTTTTATACCACTATACTACAATTTAAGACAGTATCATACTTTTATTATTTTATTTTATGCTTATGTTTATTAAATGTTTTAATGTTTATTGTTGCACCAGGGCTCTGAGAGTAATGTAATTTCAATCCTGTGTATGTCCTGTACATATTGCAGTTTTGACAATAAAGTTGACTTTGACTTTTTTAATTTAAGCTTGTTCTACCCTTTCAGCTAACTTTTTGTTTTTGTTTTGCATTATTTAGCTAAGTTCAGCTGTTTTCAGATAAATTCTAATCTTTTGTGGTATTTTTTGCTAGTTTTAGCCTAATTAACTTCTTTCTAATTTTAGCTTGTTATGCTCCTCTCAGCTTATTTGTACCAGTTTGGTATTTCGGCTACTATTTAGCTATTTATGCTAATCTTAGCTTTTTAAGTTAAATCCACATTTTTTTAGCTCGTTTCAGCTCTTTGAGCTTCCGTCTGAGTTTAGTCTTTGTTCTGCCTTTCAGCTACGTTTCAGCCATTCTTTTTTCTAATTTCAGACTTTTTTTTAACTTATTTACTAATTTTTGTTTTCTTTTCTGCTTATTTAAACCTATTTCAGATAATATTTATTCTTTCTGCTTTCTTCTGCTAATTTAGGCTCGTTCTTCCATTTCAGCATGTTTTTAGCTAATTTCAGCCGTTTTTCCCAGCAATACGCATTGACACTGCATTTTCACAGGAAATGCACTGTCTCTAGTTATAAAGTGATTTTAAGATACACACCAAAATATTATTTTAATAGTTTATTATAAAAACAATCCTTTCAGTATTCATGACTTGAATAAAAAGAGAACTACAAATGACTAATAAACTAAAGAACTGCTTTAGTCAGTATTTTTCATTAATAAAACAAATGAAAAATAACAAATAGAAATTAGTAAAACCAACTTCCTTTTCTGCAGCAGGCGGTGTTTTATATGCGAGAAAAAAAGCAGTTTAATGTGAAACGTGAAAATATTTTGCATCTTTTACTGGTAATGCTGTTATTTTTTTCTGATATTAAATGAAATAAACTACTGTTTTTATGTGAACATTCAGTCTAAAAGCATAATCATGGAGAAAAAACGATTCCTTTCATTCACAGAATGAATATTAAAGAAGAAGGTTGAGGTGCAGCCTCTGCAGAGCGACGGTGAACGTTGATTCAGCACCTTCATCTCAAAGCACAGCTTGGTGGAAACATTACCGCAGGACGAAAAAGTCTGATCCAAACCATATGGATGCAGAAGAGCTGAGGGTGTTCTAAGGGATTCTTACAGATTTACACCCCGCCATCGGAGGAAAGTGTCAAATATTCTCCTGAGCTTTTGGGTATCGACTGAGAGCGAAGCACTAACAGCTTCTCACGCTGACGGACGGCACAGGTCTCAGAATGTGGAGTGTAAAACCAACACCGCAGGGGCTCACGGCTCCACCGCCGTCAGAGGTCTCAGCGTTTGGCTCTCTTGGAGGGGGGCTCCTCTGATTTCTGTCCTCCTCGCGTTCGCACAGCAGGAGGGCTGGCCTCCCGTTTACGGCCCCCCTTGGCTGCTGCCTGGACCCTCGTCCCACTGCAAAGGGGAAACAAGGAGCAAGTGTCAGTCCACGATTCAGCCTGGGCTTATTTGTGAAACATCCTGCAATAAGTGCTACATGCACACAGACCGGAGCCTGTCTACATGAGGCTTGTGCTGGAAAAACTGCCCGGGAAAGAATTCAAAACATGGTTCAGGTTTCACGACTTCTCTAGAATTTAAAACAGAGAAAAACGTTTTCGACAAAACCAGCTCTTTCTCTACAAACGCTCAGAACAAAACCCGGAAAAATGGAGCTAAAACAAACAGTGAAGGTACGTTTTATCAAAAACAAAGAAGCAACAATGAAAAGAACAGAATCATTGAGTCTTTCTATTAAAAAAAAAAAACGTTAATTTTAAGTTTGTGATGTGAGCATCTAAATGTGGAGGAAGATTCATCAACTGCAAAACATCAAGCTGAAGAAAAAAAATCTAGTGTATTTTTAGCTGTATAAGTCACTTTTTTTGCATAATTTGCATTCCCTGCAACTTATACGCAGAAGTGACGTATTTATGGATTTTTCTCATATTTATAAACTAATATTTGGCAGAGATACGACCGTTTTCATTCATTCTGACTGAAAATATTGAACACTACCATTTTCAGCCTCGAGATGGCACCAGAGTAGTATGGCATGCCGTTGTGTCATTTAATATGTAAAAGTGGCTATTAATGACACAGTCAGCTTGCCATAACCTTCCACCTTCGTCCAGCTCGCCTGGAGCAAACGTCAAATCTGCTTCATTTCACTGCGTCGCCCCGGCAAAATGCAGCTAATTTGACCATTAAATGCATTTATTAAGTAAAAGTTCAACTGAGACACACCTTTACTATAATGTTGAGCAAAAAAATAATTGTTTTTAGGTGCTTGTCTTGTTAAATTTTGAAGAAATGAGCAGCGACTCGTCCCTTGCGTGTGCCCGCTTCAACGTATCAGCTTTTGAAACGCAGCTGATTTGACCGTTAAAGTGCATTTATTTAACAAACGTTAAACTGAGATACACTTTTACTATAATTTTGAGCAAAAAAAAATTTGTTTTTAAGTGTTAATCTTGTTAAATTCTTGTTAAAGTCCTCCCGTGCATGCTCCCGCGGCTGCCTTTTGGCAGACAATCGATTTTTGGCACAACACCGGTCCACATTTCCAGGTTGTCAGCGGTGACTCATAATAGATGCGACGTATTTATGATTTTTCTACTTTATTAGACATATTTGGACTGATGCGACTTATAGGGCGGTGCAACGTTTACGGTGGAAAATACGGTAGCTACTTTATTGTTTAAATATTCTTTTCCCTATAGCAAGGCTATTCAACTGATGGCCCGGGGGCCAAATCAAGCCCATGGGTGAGCTCAGTTCGGCCCACCAATGGGTTCATTTTTAAATAAAACTAGATTTTAAACCATAAAACAAACTTACTTAATGACAATAACTGCAGGATGTTCAGCCCCTGAGCTCATGGATTTCAGTAACTGTGGCCCCTTGAGCAGATTAGTTGAATAGCCCTGCCCTATACTGTCCCTTGATTGGCTTTATTTTCCCCTGAGATCTAGTCATGACTAATCATTTCTACTGAAAATCAACATTAAAGAGTGCCCACTCTCCAACTCTAAATATATTATATAATAATCCTAACATATTGTCCAATTACTAACATTTAATCACATTTCCAAACCAGGTTAGGCCACTATACAGATTTCTTATTATTATTCTGAGAGCTGATTACTTTAGTAATTCTAGGAAATCTTTCAATGAAATATTCTCGTTCACAGATGTAAAAAGTTTTCGTCGTCTTCTCCTGAATGTTCCTTCACGCTGCTGAAGCTCACCGTGTGCCAGATGCGGTCTCCTCTTTACCGTTCTGCCGGCTCGCCCGGGTGGATGGTTTACTCGGCTTATTTCTGAGAAGCAATAAAAGAAAATTATTGCTTTAGTGCTAAATTTTCCTCGCCTGGCATTAAATGTGATGAAACTGTGTTCGTTGGGAGACGTTCAGGGTTGTGAGGGGATGAGAGTGCTACTGTTGCACAAATGACATTTCTATGGCATTACTGTCAAATTTGTCAACATGAAAAGTTTAATGAAGTTTATTTTGTGGATTAATAATGTGGCCCATTTTTACCCCCGAACGACTAAATAAAACCAGACTCTACCGTTCAGCCTCGAGACGAGACGCCTGCCGAGTTGTAGCTCTGGTTGCAGTTTCTATTTCTTCCTCATCTCCTTCTCCTTCCTCATCCTCTTCGTCTTCATTGGTCAGCTCAGTCTCTTTTTCCTCTTCTTTATGCTCCTTTTTACCTAAATCAAAGATAAAGGCATTTAGCATGGATAAAGGGAACTTTTACATGTTGCTGTTGCTTATTAATAAATAAGTTCAGCAATAGATGCTGACTTCACTTTTCTTTTCCGATTACACACACGCACACAAAGGGAAGAGGCAGGTAAAGATTATGGATGGATGGGTGATGCAACAGAAAAGAAAAAAACAATTTGGCAATGAACTGGACATGATACTTTAATGTATAGAAAATCTAACTAATAAAATCAATCAACAGTTCTGTACTTCATTATTTTGGCTCTTCACTGGTTCACTCTGGCCCAGTTTAAGAACAGCCCTTTTGTTATTAATTGAAATCTTGTCACATTTATTTTACCTGAATCTTCTGCAGCTGCAGACTTTGGTGGCCGTCCTCTTCGAGCAGGTCTCTTTGGAGCCGGCTCCTGCTCCTCCTGTTGATCCTGGTCCTCCTGTTGCTCCTCCTGAGCCTGAAGAGAAAAACAAGCACCTTCATCTGAGACAAATGTATATAAGATGAGACAACACTCTCAAATGATTATAGTAGAATTTAGTGGTGAAACATGCAGATAAATATCAACA